TAAACTATGGGCCTATGGTGCAATCAAGTATTTGGATTTGCCGCAACCCAAATTAGATTTGGGCATATCCCCTACCTTTCTCCACTCCAGCCTCAAACACCATAAACAACCCATAAAGAAATGAGCCTCAATATGGCAATGGAAAAGCCACACATCTGGACTATCAGCCTTGAACCTCACAGCAGTCCATCCATGAGGATGAAGCAGCACTGTGTTCTTCATAATCGGATTAACCAAATTATACTTGTTAACATCCGTTTTCAAGTTAAATTTCCCCTCTCCATAACCAAGGACCCGAAAATCATGTCCATGTAGATGCCACGGATGTGTCTCACTAGTTTCATTCTTCATGGTATTAGCATTTTGCAATATAATATCCACAGTTGAACCAAACTCCAGCTTGTAAATCCCAGTGCGAGAAATCGCATTCCTGTTATTGGCAACACTCTAGATACCATAATTTTCAGTGTCATAAGTTTCCGGAGGTGGGGTTGGATTAAAAACATCCCTTATATACCCCTTTAATGCCATAAGGTAAGGAGTACTTGGTAGGGCAAAGGACACATTATTTTGAGCCCATTTTGTGTAATCATTTATGGTGTTTTGTGTGTTGAGGAGGATAATCTCGATCTTTGTCTGAGTTCTCTGGAGGGGTTTGGAAATGACCTTGCAGTGCCTTGATGGCTGAACTCTGCTCGATTCTCGATTTGATGTCGTCCCAACGAGGTCCAGGTGGTGGATTTGTTGAGGGAGCAAATTCATGGGGATGATTGGGATCATCGTATTTTAAAATGGCCAAGGCATTTGTAGTGTTGGGTTCTGTACTGACCACGTTTAGGCTCATCCAGTAATTCCTAATAGTCTTTATCTGCTGTTACCAACACAGAATAGGTCTCACCGGAGTAAATGTATAGGTTCTCAACCAAGAATGGTTCGACGAAATTCTCATCTGCTTCAACAGCTTTCATCATATGATCCTACATATATATGGTCAATTCGTTCATTAATTGAAAATAAGCAAATTCCGGTTAAATTTGCTGACAGAAATTAGTTAAGGCCATGGTGAAGTGTCTTCATAGGCCCTTAGTCTTGGTATTAATGGCCTGTCTTTGATCAAACTGTGATAGATCTTTACCTCTATTTGGAAACTAAGAGCTGAAAGGGAAGCTCACTATCCTTAATCGGTGTGTTATCCCAGGAATTACTGTGAGAGCAAAAGGGGAACACTGAGGAAGAGATGAGTTACAGACACTAGGGTGAATACCTGTGCAATTGTATTTTCCTCTGTCATTTATCAGCAATGACTGAAATGAAACAGAAAGTAACATGATTAATTTTAAGCATATACCACCATGGTATCTGTATATCTAACAGAAAAATATATTAGTAAAGCTTAGATTTTAAAATGACAATGTTTTACTTTACCTGAGGCTCTCCGATCCATTCAAAAGGTTTTGAAGACAAGCGCGTTGCATGATCATAAGCTGAATGATGGTACCAATCACTAAGAGTAATTCCATGGTCATGCTCACGGTCATGGTCATGGTCATAACTGAAAGGCTCTGACTCTCCAGCTGGAAGTGATACAATAATCAGTCCATAAAGCCCAGCTTCTCTTTGCATTCCATAATGGGAATGGTACATATATGTTCCGGCCTGCATCAATTAAGAAAATTAATTAACTCATAACTTCACAGTTTCATCTAATGGAACTTGTTCTATGTATAGTTTGTTTTGTACCTTATCAACAACAAATTCGTATGTGTAGTTCTCTCCAGGCAGTATTGGACATTGAGTAACCCCATCCGTTCCATCACTCCATGGTGTTCCGCGCTGTTTCAAGCCAAAGAGGGCATGTTCAGAAACAAATTAAGGATGTGATTGTGTTAATTGTTTGCAAATCAAAATCATAAGAATAAAAGGAGCTAAATATATGTACGTACCTGCTGGATTCCATGCCAATGGATGGCAACATTTTCCATTACCAAGCCGTTAATTACATTGACAATGATTTTATCTCCCAGCACTAATGAGATGTTAGGCCCTGGAGTCAATCGATTAATGGCGATAGCCAGCTTCCGCTAACAGTCAAGATACTTGTACTGATATGTCACCTCCCATGTGTAATTCGGTGTTTCAGCAACTGCTAGAGGTATCATAATCAAACAAATCATGAACAAGAATGTAACCAGGAAAGGCGGTCCAACCATATCTCTGGTTATATTTCAAGATAAAGATGGTGTGTGTCCTACGGTTGCCTTTGATGAGCAATTTCTAGCTCAATGAAGAAGAGTAATGGGCATTTGCTGGAATGATAAATCTAGTTTACACACAGTCTTCTTATATAGTGTTTTGAGATTTAAGTCTGTACGTTATATACATAACACGACATTTTTTATTGGTACATGACATGACATTCAAATATGGTTTTTCTGGAGTTCTCCATTCAATTATGCACTTAAAGACAAAACTTACAGGTACCAATTGAACACCTCCATGAAATAAAAGCAGAAGTACAGTTATTTTAACCACAAAATAGGTGATATGCAATAGAACTATGAAGCTCCATGCGCATGTGTAATTTTGTTAGGTACGCCCATATCAAACAAGACAAGATGGGGAAATACATGCACGTGGAGATTACATGATCCTTAGAAAGAACCTCCTCTGATCAATAGTCTTCCTATCCTGATTATGTGATACCAATTTGCCATTGAATTCTTAGGGGCAATGATAAGGTTGTAGTACTACAAAAGGAATTTTAAGCGTTGAATTTACTAGTAAATAAATATTTTTTTATAAGTTAGATTTTGAGTTTATCTTAGACCTACTAGTTAAAAAAATTAATTTTTTTAAATGTACTAAACTGACATAAAAAATGTGCTGTTAAAATTACTTAAAGAAAAATTAGTTTCTAAATGTGTGTAAGTTGATTTAAGAACACTTTAACTATAAAAAAAAAAAACAAAAAAAGAGTAATATCTCAAAGGTCATGTTTGGTTGGAAGAATAAATATTCCTTTATCAAACTATAAAAATGAAATATAATTTAAAACTTAGACTCCGTTTAGGATTGTTATAGTTTTTATTTTCGTTTTTATAAATTTTACAACTTAAAAAAAAACTTATTTAATTTTATATGTCTTTGTAATCTATTATTACAATTATTAAAAAAATAAGAATAAAAATTGTTTTAATATCATTAAATAAGTTCATATTTTTAGTTATCAATGTTAAAACTTGTTTTAAATAAATTGTTAATTTTTTTATTTTTAGTTTTAGTTTTTACTAATTGCAAAATTTATAAAACCTAAAAAAAGAAAATCAAATTAGTTCTTACCAAATGAAAACCTTAATAGTTAAAGACTAAAATTAATAATTTTGTACTAAATTATGGTATCATCTTTGAAAATACTGCTAATTAAGTTCATTTATTATTTTTATTATTTTTATCCTTAAATTATGAATTTATTTCATAACATTTTAGTCAATTTCTTAGTCAACATTTCATTTTACCACTCTAAAAATATTTTATGGCTCCACCACTTACCAAAACAAATCTTGGTGATTGCCATCTCATCCACATGAAAAGCAAAGACCCACCTAGAAGTTCAATATACTACTAACAACTTATTAATCATCAATGCTTCAATTGATAATGAATCACTAGAAAACACCAGCAAGAAATCAACGGTGGAGCCTCTCCACCATTATGAATAGAACAAAAACAAAACAAACACTTACAGTTCTCCAATAGAGAAATATTGAATTCTTAAGTGGAATGTGAAAGTTAATCTCACAATTTGACGTTAAGTAAAGTTGATATATAGATACCAAACTCTAATGGAGCTAGAGGAATTTCACTATCTAAAATTGCAAGTTCTATCTTCTCATTTCAAATCGGACTTAACATTCGACAATTGTCCATTTAAAAAAAAAAAAAAAATCCTTGTAATCTGCTCTCAAAAAACATGAAGTCCTTAATTGCAAATTTTCTCAAAATTGTTGTCTTCATTTGTTACTTAACGCCATTTTGAAATGAAATGCAACCGACCCCCTCTCTGCCTCCCTCAACAGCCATTAGCACCGCTTCCATGGAGGAAAACTCCGCCCCTGATCCCCTCACGAACCAATTCACATCTCTCAACGATCTAGCCTACGAGCTCGCCTCTCTTCAGGATCTCGCCACCCGCGGCTCCTGGCGCTCCATCCTCGACAATGTCGCTCGTGCCCGCTCCAACAACCTCCTTTCCAAACCCCACGACCACCTCACTTATCTCGCTTACAATGTTCTCGCTCTCTCGAAGCTCCGCCGCTTCACAGACGCCTCCAATGAGCTCGACTCTCTCCACGACTTCAACAGCCACCTCTACCAGTACGAGACGTACCCCGACGTCTACCCTAACCGCTCCGGTTCGATGGTACCCTTCCTCCTCCGGTTCCTCCACGCCCAGATCTCGTTTAAGCTCGGCAATCGCCAGGAAGGGTTAGATCGTTTCTATTCCTTACTTGATTTTACGCGCCAAAGGATTAGAGAAAAGGAATCCAAGAATTTAGATGTTTCTGTTAGTGTGTGGAGGAAACGGGAAGTTTTTGTAATGAATTGTATAATTGGCCATCACCTGGGTGCTAAAGAGTTTAATGTGTGCTTGGATTTGATCAATGATCTGATTAATCGTGATTACCTAGACCCTCTTCTGATTTCCAAATTAGGGTATATACAAATGCAGATTGGGGATCTAGAAGGGGCTAATGTATCGTTTAATCGTGTTGAAACAATGCAAAATGAGGGGAAGAGTAATGGGTGCTTAAGTGACGTTGAGTTGAAGAATCTAGTTAGTAGAAACAAAGCATTGGTCTACTTGGTTGGGAAAGATTATGTCTCCGCAGTCAGGGAGTATGACAACTGCATTGAGAGAGATCAGACAGACATTATTGCTGTCAATAACAAAGCTCTTTGCTTGATGTACTTAAGGGATTTGTCAGATTCCATTAAGGTGTTGGAAAATGCCCTTGAGAGGGTGCCTACGGTGGCTTTGAATGAGACTCTGGTGGTCAATTTGTGCAGTATGTATGAATTGGCATATGTTAATCACTCGGAGATTAAGCGGACATTGAGTAATTGGATTGCCCGAGTTGCACCTGATGATTTTGATTCGTCATGTACCAGGGTTTGAGGTCTTATCTTTTTACCCTCTAGTACCATTTGACACTTTTTCATTGTTTTTGATCCATAGCTGATTGAGAAAACTTAGATTAATGTTGAAATGATTTTGACGTTTTCTTCTGGTTCTGGAAATGCATACAGGATTCAGTAAGTCTGTATGGAGCTGAAACTTATTTATGTTTATGAATAGATGTGGAGGAGTCTCTGACTCTATTCTTATATATTGAAATGAATAATTCTTTTTCTGTTGATCAGTGTCTTTTCTTTGGTCCTGTTTTCTGCTTGTTGGGTACAAGATGAATTTATAAAATTGTTTTTGAAAATGCGAAAAATATTTAGATGTCCTAAGTATTTTTAATCATATTTACATAATAATACACTAGTTTCTGGGCTATTAGTGCATACATTTAATGTTGTGTCCATAACTAATGATACTTCAGTTGATTCAGGAGTCATAACTAATGTTTTAACTATTGAGCAACTAACTACTTTGGTTTTCTGTCACATGACAAACCTTATTACATGTTTCATAGCAACAATTTTTATTGGTAGACTATTCTCTGCTTATTTACCCATTCAATTACCCTGTCCATTTCATGCTTTCTTGAATATCACAAATAAATCTTAGCTGTTTATTTTTCCTGCTGTCTTCTTCAATGAGATGAGATCAGGAGATGATGTTCGCACTTTCTTTAAGTTACTGCATTATATGATGTATATTCCCATTCTACATGATCCTGCATCATATTTACATTGCTTTGTTTGGTATGCAAGTCTCTACTACATCCATCCTTTTCTGTTTAGGTTCATACAGATTGAGGGACAACTTTGTCTTCTGTCTTTTCTGTAATATGTGCTATTTAGATGAGTTTTTTCTTCGAACTAAATCCGCAGCTCTTGACATCGTGCATGCTGAAAGTTCTTAATATAACTCATTTTGCATATCTGAGCTACCAAACTAAATGTTTCACTTCTCTATATCAATGATAATAATATCTAGCCAATTGTTTAGTGTTGCCCCAGTAGTCAGAAACTTGTTAAAAATTTGTATTGGTTCTATTGGGGTAGATTTATCTGTTACTATCTTCTGAAAGTTCATTAGTAAACCTGTAATGTTTCGCCTCTCTGAGCTGCTTTGGTGGCCTAGTGGATCGGTTTGGGTTTTTAGACTTCACAATGTTATGCTAGAATTGTTTACAGTTTGATTTTTCTTATTCTTACCATCAGTTACTAGAGTGCTCCAGTTGAGCTAATTACTTGATAACTTTGTCTAGCAGATTTCAAGGATTGAATGATCTTGGACACCGGAAACATAGTCAGGACAGAAACAGCTCTTTGATGGTTTTTGTGCTCTCCGCTTCCTCATTCTCGTCGGTCCAATTTAAAATATTGACATTATGATATCACAAATTATGGAGGAGCACATTCATGTCTTCAATTCAATTTTTCTTCACATACTAATTTTCTATTAAAATCTCCATGTAGTTCATTTTTCTGAGAAGGAAGGCTTAAATTTAAAGCTAAATTTGGAAAAAGAAACCACAAGACAATGTGTTCAAAGATTTTCAAATTCCACCCAACAGATGCTTCTAGCAAATAAATGAAATTAAATCAGAGGCTGCTACCACTTAAAATGGATTCAGAGTCCTTTAGCTTTGTGGCGCAATGATGTCTGTGTTATGTTTGGTGACTTTAATTGTCTCGTCTCTCATCTACCAAAAAAGGGGGTGGGGGAGTTGGTGATATTAATTTCTGAGTTAAAATTTAGTCAATTCCATTCTCCAATTGTTTAAAAAATACACAAGGTGGGTAGGTAATTGTTATTGCTAAAAAAAAATTGACCCAGTTCTTGGGAGCTGAGGGAGACAGAAAAGGCCAAACCTGCCAAACCCTTGACGTTGTCGTTACTGTACTACTAAGCGTCAGCTCTCACCTACCCACATGTTAACTCTCATCCAAGTATCCAACCGCAAAGCTTTTTCTCCATCCTACAATACTTCCTCCAACAGAGTCTTCAGTGAGGTAGGTACCGTGTTATATGGTTTTTTATGGTGGTAGTTGGTAAAGTTTAAAAGTAAAATTTGTCTTTAAATAAATTTTAAAATTTATTTATTAGTTAAGGGTCTGTCCAAGTGTAAAGATTAAGAGTAATGTAAATGTTTTTTTTTTTTTGAACATGAATGTAAATGTATTATTTAAATTAATTTATGTAAAAAATTATAAAAATTAACTATTATTTTAATATTACCAACAAGTAATTAATTGGTTAATTAATTAAATTAAAATCAATATTTACATTTTAAATATAAATTAATTATAAAAAATATATTAATTACACTATAGAACATATGTTAAAAAAATTGATAGGTTAATTTAAAAGTTATCATTCTTATACTATAAAAACAATATTACTCTAAAATATGTGTCATGACAAGTAAAATAAACCAAAAGTCATAATCTCTATGATTTTTTGAGAAAAAAATGCAAATGAGAATACTAATTTTGTATTTTTTATTTAAAAATGTTACTTTTACTAGTTTTGAAATAAAAATATCAAATTTTAATTTTTTTTATTTAAAAAGTTAATTTTTGATATTTTTAATTTAAAGACATCAACTTTCAATACTCTAATTAAAATGTTTGTTCATTATATCCGTATTATTATTTAATTAATTTTTATTTTTATTTTTTTTTGAACAAAGTAGTAAGGGCTAACTTCGAATCCACCAGAGGGAGGGGTACTGCACTTTTAAGGTGACTCGAAAGTCATTTGATCCGAAAGGTTAGGTGCTATTTAATTAATTTTTAAATAGAATAAAATTAAAAATTAATATTTTTAAATAAATAAAAATTAATATATTTAAATAAAAAAATTAAAAATTAATATCTTTATTTAAAAATTAATAAAATTAATATTTTTATATAAAAAAAACAAAATTAACATCTTTTTTTATACTTTTTACTATAAAATTTTGAAATTAATTATTCCTTAATTTAGGGGAAACCAAACCATCCAGGCTAGAATTAACAAGGAATCAAATCCATAAAAAGACAAACTCTGTTAACAACAAGCAACAAGCAAACTCGTTTACTAGCAAGCAATGGGCACATACGGTTAGTAAAACACGAAATCTCTTATTTGTCAGGTTTAATTGGTTGGTACACTGCTGACGGGAAACTCTCTTGTCGTGGGAAAATGGAATTTTTCCTCCGTTAGCCAATGTTTCCAACAACAACTCCTGATCTCCATTTTCCCACCAACCGCACCTTCTCTTCAAATAACGAATATTACAGGGCTTTTGTCTGAGTTTTAGAATCTGATTCTCAGAACTAGAGCCTCTTTTGCCCAGATGGCAACTGCTCTACAGTCATCCACACGAACTGCTCCTGTTGCTTTCTCCCGACAATTCACCGGTCTTTCTTCCAGTTCCCGCGGCTCTGGATCTGTTTCTTTCCCCCACAATATCTCAATCAAGTAAGTTCCTTTGCAACGCTTTTTGAATCTGGGTTTTCTTGTTTTTGATCTCTTAATTTTATCTGTTAGTATTGGAGTGCAATTGAACTTCTTGGTTATTCAAGTGAGGTCTATAGCAGTAAATTTGAGCGTTGAATTTTTTTTTTTTTTTTTCTTTTGGGAGGGTTAGTTGGGTTGGGATTTAAATATGAATGTTGGGTTGTTTGGATGTGCTCTCAAGAATTTTACTTTTCGTTGATATCAAGTCTAAATTTCAATTCTTTATGTTGATCTTGATGGAGTTTTCTGTTTCTGTATTTCTATTCTCCATTTTGTGGTGTCCTTAAGTTGTTTTATCAACTGTCTGTTACGTAGTTTACTGGCACTTTATGTTAGGAATTCAGCACCTAAATAGGATACAATTTTTCCTTAAAGACTGGGTTCTAGTGTAAATCGAAAGGGATTATGGGAGGAACATTGGAGAGAAGTTATCTTGAGACAAATGCAATAAAACGAATAACTTTTTCAGTAGTGTTCTCAAATTATTTTGTTAAGTTTTTACGGGTTGTTCAAAGAGATTCTTGTTCTGGCAATAAAAAGTATGAATGGTAACATGATATGGACAATAAATCATGGTATCATGGCAGTTAGAACTAGAGAAATTATCTGCAAGGAAATGGGAATG